GCTGAGGAGCTAAAGAGCTTTCAAGCAGTCTCCCAGTGTAAAAAAGAAAAATTGCATTTGAAGGGCCCTGGTAAATTTTCAGACCTCTAAATTGGAACTCCCATAGGAACAAGGAAAATTAGAAGTAGACCAGGTGTTGCAAAGACAAATCCAGTGTCAGAACAACAGAACAATCTGTTTTCTAACTGGCTACCAGAACTAGATGCCTTTCAGAGTTTCTAGTTTTTCATAACACGATGTTCACCAATCCATCCAAAAGAACCAATCATAACAATAATCTAGGCAATAGAAACAGACCTCCAGATAATACAGATACTGGAGTTACCAAATACGGGCTAGACATATAATTATGTTAATATAGTTCCATAGAACAGATGACATAATGGTGAGTGTCACAGGTAAGTGGAACCCATAAAATAAAACCAAATGGAAATTCCAAGATGAAAAGACATAGTAATTAACATTTAATTATGATGAATAAATGATTAGCCAAAGCTGGAGAGATTTAGTGATCTGGATATAAGTCAGGGAAAAATATTCAGGTGAAAATCAAAGAGAACAAAGAAAGAAAAATAAAAAGAGTATAAGAAACATGCGGGACACAGCACAAACATCGAAGATGTACAATTGGAGGAGAGAGGAGAGACAGAAAAAAGCCACAGAATATTTGAAAAGACAGCTTAGAATTTTTCAGAATTGACAAAAGAAACAAGCCACAGGTTCAAAGATCACCATAAACCCAGATGAGATAAGCAATAAAAACACAGCTAGGGACATCATTGTAAATATGCTGAAATGAAAAGGCAAAGAAAAATGATTCACATTAGCCAGAGGTAGAAAGACAGTACTGTCTGAGGGGCAGTCATACAACAGACAGCAGACTTCCCCGGAGAAATGATGGAGTTCCAAAGACAATGGAAAGCATTCTGAAAATGCTGAAAGAAAATGACTGCTAATCTAGAGTCTACGTCTGGTGAAAACACTCTTCAAAACATGAAGATCTTTTCAGACAAAAACCTGAGAACCTTCCCAGTAGGCCTACACCAAAATACTAAAAGTAGTCAGTTGGCAGGAATGTACTGATGGCCAGAAGCACTAAAAATGCACAACAGAACGAAGAACAAATGAAGGGGTCAATATGTGGGTGCATCCAAGACAAGTACTAACTGCATAGAACTGGGTATAATATTTTGAAGCATTTAAAATATATGCAGAATTAAAATTTGTGACAAAAATGCAAAAAATGGTGAGTGGAGTTAAATATTCTCCTATTCTTGCATTACTCAGGAAATGGTGAAAGTACTGATTTTAGGTTATAGGAAGTCCAGGATGCATACTGTAGTGGTCTCTAATATAACTTTTAAAATAATATTAAAAATATATAATGAATCATATAGTAGAGGGGGAAATTGAATGAAAAAGAAAACTTGCTCAATCCAAATAAAATGAAAGAAGAGAAAATTTAGGAAGTGGTGAAAGAATTAATTTTAGGTGATAGTAAGTGAAGGATGTATGTTGTAGTGTCTAATATCACCTTTAAAATAATATTAAAGTACATAATGATCTAATAGAAAGGAAAATGGAATGAAAAAATACTTACTTAATCCAAATAAAGTGAAATAAGAAAAAAATTATGCATGTGAGATGAATGAAAAATAAATAGTACTATCATCTACACAGTAAAAGTAAATAGTTCTATCATATACACAGTAAAAATAAATAGTTCTATCATCTACACAGTAAAAATAAATAGTTCTATCATCTACACAGTAAAAGTAAATAGTTCTATCATCTACACAGTAAAAATAAATAGTTCTATCATCTACACAGTAAAAATAAATAGTTCTATCCATACACATAGTAAAAAAAAAGTACTATCATTTACACAGTAAAAATAAATAGTACTATCACAGATACAAACCCAGCTGTAATAGCACTACTTATATTTCATGTAAAAGGATGAAACATTCCAATTAAAAGATAAAAAACTGGATTTCTAAAAACGTCCTCCTATATGTTACCTAAAAATATCTATGTTAACATTACAATGAAGTTTTAAAGTGATAGGACAGAAAATGATATAGTGTGCGAACATTTACCGAACGAAAGTTACTGTGGCTATTTTAATATCACACCAAATGCATATCAGGCCAGAAGAAACACTAGAGATAAAGAGGAGCATTTCACAAATATAGAGGCTTAAATCCACCAGAGACAGTTCAGTCTATAAAACCCTAGCAACATAGCTTTGAAACACATAAAACAGAACTGAGAGCAGGAAAGAAGTGCATCCCTTGCACTCGCAGTGGGGATGGTTCCCGCACCTCTCGTGGTACTTGATGGCAAAGAGCCATGTGTAAGGAGCCATTTTAACCACATAATGAGCCAACTTGACTCACTGACTCTGCGGGATCCTGCCCTGACAACTGTGGAATACACCTTCCTCCCAAGTTCCAAACAGAATATTTACCAAAACTGTATGTTTGGCCATAAAACACGTCTCAATAAATTTCAAAAAACTGAAATCATGCAGTGTGCATTAATATGTTTCACCATTTTCTCTCACCCATAGTATATAATAGGAAACCACTCTAGCTGCAATTCCCGCCCTGGGTGGCAGAGCCTCAGACCCACCCACCCCTGCCCTGGCACCTTGGGATGCTTTCTTCCTGGAGTGCCCATCCTAGTACATGTCGGGGGTCACTGCCCCCTCACAGGCATGTCTTTAACTCCCCTGTAAGCCAGCTCCCTTGCCTTGGGGTAGCTCATATTAACACTGGTGTTTTTCCTCATCAACTTAGTTCCTGCTCTGTTTGAAGCTCCCAGGAACAGCACTGCTGTGTCCCCTCAGCAGGAAGAACGTGTGGAGCCTGCACAGCAATTGTCCATCTGGAGACTCAGCGTGTTTCCTTGGCTGTTTTCAGTGCTGTCCTGAGAAAGGGAATATCCTGATGTGATCAGACTATTAAATCAAACTTCCAGCTTTTGAAGACTATGTGATCAGGGCTGTCACGTGGTCAGGACAGAGGAGAGAGAGTGGCCAAATCAGTGACGCTTTTCCATCACGTGGTCAGGACAGAGGAGAGAGAGTGGCCAAATCAGCGAAGCTTTTCCGTCACGTGGTCGGGACAGAGGAGAGAGAGTGGCCAAATCAGCGACGCTTTTTCCGTCACGTGGTCGGGACAGAGGAGAGAGAGTGGCCAAATCAGCGACGCTTTTTCCGTCACGTGGTCGGGACAGAGGAGAGAGAGTGGCCAAATCAGCGACGCTTTTCCGTCACGTGGTCGGGACAGAGGAGAGAGAGTGGCCAAATCAGCGACGCTTTTCCGTCACGTGGTCGGGACAGAGGAGAGAGAGTGGCCAAATCAGCGACGCTTTTCCGTCACGTGGTCGGGACAGAGGAGAGAGAGTGGCCAAATCAATGAGGCTTTTGTGTTTTGTCTTCTCTGGGTCAGCCCTGCTCTGCCACGGTTTCTGGGGGGACAAACCCTGCCAGGCCCGGCTTGGAAGACGATGATGCCACTGATGATAGAAACCTCCCGCAGCAAGGCCCTGGCTTGGGGCATGGTGTCGGGTCCACAGCAGGCCACGAGATGGTGTGGCGGTGAGTGAGCCACTTAATACCTCTGAGCTGCAGGCCCGCACATGTGGAGTGGAGGTGATGCTGGCCTCCTGGCCTTGCTGTGAGGACTCTGTACCCACTGTGCAGGCAAACAACTTATAAACCACAAAGTTCGTTCAAAATGGTTTGTGAGATCCACGCGCAAAACTGAAAAATCAAAACTGCAAGTGCACGAAGGAAGGAGAAGAACTACATGGGTGTGTCCATGTATTAATAGAGGGGCTGCAGCACGGTTTAGTAGGCACGGGGGAGCACTGGGCCTCAGAAAGAACTGCAACCGGCTCTGCCATCAACTTACTGAGTTACCAGCAAGTCATGTGCCCTCACTGCCTCAGTTTCCTCTTCTGGAATCGAGGGGTTGCATGAAAGGCCTCAGAGGGCCCTGATTCCAAGCCCTTGGTCCTCTGCAGTCACCTCGGAGACACATAGAAAGAGGGGATAGGATGTTTGCATCTCTTAGGAAGAGAGCACAGCCAGCAGCTATAAGCACAGTGGCACTGTCTGATTCTGTTTCCAGCTGCCTCCATGGATGCCCGCCCACTGCTACACCGCACAAAGGGCACACACGTCCTCTGTCCAGGATTGTTCTAAAATGTGATCCATGAGCTTCTCCAAACCTCTCTGCCTTTCTAGAGAAATGGGAAAGTCATGTTTTGTCCTAAATCATTCCAGATAGGTCACCTCAATGAGTCTGGTAGAGGCTGCAGCCCATCCACAGTCAGAGTGAGTTTGGGTAGGAAAAGCTGCTCAAGACGTGTGCTTGTCACCCCCAGCCCCTGCCCCAGGTAGCGCTATAGGCCACATGCACCACCTGCAGCAAAGCTTCACCTTCTACAACACATAGGCCCAGCCAGCATTCCCAAGCTCAGCAAACATTTCTGTTGCAAGGAGGCTCCATGTGTGTTGCATGTGTGTGTTGTGTGTGTGCATGTTGCGTGTATTGTATATGTGTTGCATGTGTGCATTGTATGTGTGGACATGTGTGTGCATGTGTTGTGGATGCATGTGTGTGTTGTATGTGCATGTGTTGTGTGTGCATGTGTGTTGCGCACGTGTGTGTTATACATGCAGGTGTTTTGTGTGCATGTGTTGTATGTGCATGTGTGCACTGTGCATGCATGTGTGTTGTGTGTGCACATGTGTTATATGTGTGCGTGTGTTTTGCAGGGCATAGCGGCAGGAAAGACACTCTTGGGCCTTCATGGTTTCTGTTCCTCATGGACAGATTCTTTTTCATGAACTCTGAGATTGCCGTTTGTAGACAGAATCTTCTGATGTGCTTATTTCAAGGCTCAATATGGTTTTTGTTTCTTGTTTTCTTTAAAAAAAAAAAAAGAAACAACCAAATCCCACACACCCTCGAGCTTAACACTTAAATAAACCAACTCCATTTGGATGGTGTGAAGTAGTGATTTTCCTTTATGCAAATGGCTCACGGAATGTGGGTGCGTGCACACATGTGCCCTGTTCCAGAGGCTGCTGGGTGGAGGTCCTAGCAGGTACGTCTCCCGCTCGGGGCTCCGGCGGCTGTGGCCTCACTGACTGCCTGGGCGCCTGCTCTGAGCACTCGTCTTCGGCTGTTCTTTACGGAAATCGTTTCCTGTGTGGAAAGAGGAGATTTTGAGCCTGGCAGTGTGTTGTGTGAGGGAGATAAGGACATCGGCAGGATCACAGGGACACAAGGGGACAGGAGGAGCTGGGGAGGGAAGGGAGAGCCCTGCGGATGTGTCCCAGGCAGGAGGATGGTGGGGCACTGGCTATGTCTGGCTGCCTCTGGTTCTCCCTGCAGGTCCACTCTGTCCAGTGTCGTTTCCCCCTCGTTCTCCCTCAAAACCCATCAATAACTCCGAGCTTGGTGGGGCTGGTCCTCCTCCTCCTCCCCTCATGGCAGCTGGCTGTGGGGCCCATTCCTGGGAGTTAGTACCAGGAGGTTGGAGACTCCTGGTCCTTCACTGTCCTGCATTGCCGAACAGTCAGGTCCCAGAGAACTGGATCTTTGACAAGGTCTCTCATGAAATCTGTATCTAAAGCAGCAGAGTTTGGCCTGGACGGCGGCACAGTCTGGGAAATTGTCTGTAGCTTGAACGACCGCTCACTGCCCTTTCTGCACCACGTGGGTGGGCCTGGTCCCTGCTGCTGCGGACACGGACAGACCTTGTGGCTTGAGGTTTTGTGGTCCTGGGATGGACACTGGCCGGCAAAGTCTGAATGTGGGGGGCTGGGAGCCCCACTTCAGAGCAGCTCCTGGCCTGTGCTTGATGACAACCTGTGCAGCAGGGAGGCCTCTAGGGACACGTCCCAGGACCGTCCTCGTCAGCATTTTAACAAAGGACCAGCTGGCTGGCTTCCCACATTTGTGGACAGTGAGAGGCTGCAGCAGACAAGCTGGATGGAAAAGTCAGAACCTCAATGCCTTAAGAGGGGACAGGGAGGCCCACCTCACCGTCCTCTAGTGGGTGAACTCCCAGGCAGGGCTCTCTGTTTTATGGGAGAAACTCCAGAGCCTAGGACAGTGCCAGGCACGTGGTGGGTGCTCGGGAAGCACCAGTGAAGGAGAATGAAGGTGACGGGGTCTCATCGTCTGGCCCTGTGCTGGGGCTTTGAAAAGCCAGCCGTGTGGCTCAGCAACAGCTCATGTGCCAAAGCCCTTGGCATTCACAGACAGCAGCTCGGGATTCATGGTGTGACGCGCTCCAGATGGATGGTCTCAGGCTGTGTGGACGGGTGTGTGCTGCAGGGTACTGGGGGAGGGTCTAGGCACGCTGGGCTGCCATGTGACTCAATGGCTGGGAGGGCAGGAGGGCTGTCAGCCTCACCCAGGACTGGCTCCAGGAAAGCTCAGAGGAGAAGCCTGGGGCCACAGGCAGAAGCCACAGGACCCGCACAGCCAACTCTTAGCAGGCGGGCAGTGGTGGAGCTGTGTGAACAGGGAGTAGGGAAGGGCTGGACTGGGGGTCCACCTCATGAGAGGGTGGGGGGCCTCCTGACAGGGGTGTGGGGGCCCTTCCTGGGCCTGTCACAAGGGAGCAGGCTCCAGCCACCATGTGGTTGGGACCCTTGTGTGGGTGGGTGGTGGCAGCCCTTCAAGTCCTGATTATTCTTGGGAAAATGGGGACTGGTTCCTTGCTCCATTTGGCTGAGAAGGGAGAGTGCTCCCTCATTGACATGGGTCACAACTCCTTGGACTGGAATTGTCTGGTCAGGTGTCCACACGTCAGTGGCCGGATGGGGCTCCTGTGGAGCTCAGGTGGGTCCACCTGGGGCTGGGCTCACCTGCTCTTCCAGGAGCTGCTTGGAGACACTCCTGTCCCTTGAGCAGGAAAAAAAAAAAATCCCCAAACGGGAGATACTTACCTATTATTCCCAACCTACCTGAAGATCTTCCCATATTTTGAAGGATTTTGTCCAGAACGGATAGATTGTTATACTGAGTGTTTTTTGAATTCTTCTCTTCTGTGGGGAAAACAGTAAGCACAGTGGTCACGCTTTGTAAATAATCAAGGCATGATTCCACTTTTCCTTGTTTTTCTTGATTACTAATCGTGTATTGAAAACAGTAAGAGGCTCCACGACACCAAACAGAACAGTTCTGAGGATTCCCCAAGATAAATTGAACAGCTCCAGCTTCTTCAGTGTTTATCAAAATACAAAAGAAAAAAGTAGAGGTTGTCTTTTTCGATGGCAAATTGGACCCTTGCAGGCTGAGGGAAAGAAAGCTACGTCACACATGGAGGTGAGATGCTCCGGAGGGGCTGTGGGTGTAGGTGGACCGCCTGCCCGGCTTTCACACACTCCTGCTGGTGAGACCCCAGACATCCTGCCAAAGTGTCTGAGCGAGCATGAGCAGTGGGGATGACGGACTCACTCTGGCCACATGCTGACTGAGGGACAGGTGGGGCCCTGTTTCCCACAGGCTGCCTGAAGGTGGGTGGGGCGGCCTGCGGGAGAATGGGGCGGCTAAGGGCTCCCAGCCTGGCCCCTGGGAACCATGGGGGCACAGGAACAAGCACATGGCTATGGAATGCAGGGTGACCCAAGGACAAGTGAGTTGCCAGATCTCTATTGTGACCATGCAGAACTAATCGTGGTCTGCCGCGCCACCGCCTCACATTCCCAAGGGGAACAGCCAGGCTGGCGACTGGTATCCAGGCCGTAACTGCAAATCTATGCTAGGCAGGGTCTCCCTCCTGTGTGTTCAAGTGTTCTTGACTTGGATTTTTAACTATTTTAAAAAACGCACTGAGTTTGGATTAAAAAGCAACCACCAAAATGGACTTCAACGCAGCTCTAAAGCCAAGAGTGTGCCCAGCTTTCCCAACACAGTGACTCCTGGAGGCCAGGTGCCCACAGGCCTACGTCCCCTCTCAGCACTGAACAGTGAGTTGATTTTTCTTTTTACAATAAAAAAAGCTGAGTAATATCACATAGGAGTACCAGAAACTGCCTCATTGGAAACAAAAACTATTTACATTAAATAAAAAGCCTGGCGGCAGGCTGCGTCCGCCACATTTACAGCACGGTGCGATGCACACGGTGACCAAACCACGGAGGCAGCTTCTGGCACTCACACCACGAGCCGCACGTTTGCCACATGAGAGTAAAGCAGAGGGTGAGAGGAGTGAGAGGGAGGGGGTCGCGTTCACTTCTGGTTCCGGAGCTGATTGGACAGCCAGTCCAGTCCTTCATACAGCCCGTCACCGCTGGTGGCGCAGGTGGCCTGAATGTGCCAGTTCCTGTGGCATAGGGAGTGCAGCCCCAGCTTGTCTGTGATCTCGGCCGCATTCATGGCGTTGGGCAGGTCCTGCTTATTGGCGAACACCAGGAGGACAGCATCCCGCAGCTCATCCTCAGCCAGCATCCTCATGAGCTCCTCACAGGCCTCGTTCACGCGCTCTCTATCATTGCTGTCCACCACGAAGATCAGGCCTTGTGTGTTCTGGAAGTAGTGGCGCCACAGAGGCTGGATCTTGTCCTGGCCACCCATGTCCCATGCAGTGAGGCTGATGTTCTTGTACGCCACGGTTTCCACATTGAAGCCTATGGTGGGAATGGTGGTCACGATCTCACCCAGCTTTAGCTTGCACAGGATCGTGGTCTTCCCCGCAGCATCCAGGCCCACCATGAGGATGCACATTTCCTTTTTGCCAAAAAGGCCCTTGAAGAGGTTGGCGAAGATGTTCCCCATGCTTGTGGACAGGTGGAAGGACACTGGCCAGGGACACCTCAGCGGCTGCTGCTCCGAGCCAGGCGTTGGTTTCACTCCCACAAGCTTTATTTATTTATTTATTTTTGAGATGGGGTTTCGCTCTTGTTACCCAGGCTGGAGTGCAATGGCGCGATCTCGGCTCACCGCAACCTCCGCCTCCTGGGTTCAGGCAATTCTCCTGCCTCAGCCTCCCGAGTAGCTGGGACTACAGGCATGTGCCACCATGCCCAGCTAATTTTTTATTTTTAGTAGAGACAGGGTTTCACCATATTGACCAGGATGGTCTCAATCTCTTGACCTCATGATCCACCCACCTCGGCCTCCCAAAGTGCTCGGATTATAGGTGTGAGCCAGCGCACCCGGCCCCACTTTTCCTTTTAACTGCAGGGAGCCATAAGCTCTGAGCAAAGCAGCATCCATGCACAGAGCAAGCGAGATAAGGTACCGTGGCTTCTCGAGACACAGCCTCAGGGAGGCTCAAAAACATGTCCTCCAACAAGTCCAGGAAAGTGTGTCCTGGTGCCTGTGCAGTGAGTGGAGTCCAGCATCTTTATGCTTCCTCTCTGTCTTCTCGTTACCCTCTTGGGAGACGCTCGCGAACTATTCTGTGCACTGTGTGTCCTCAGGCCTCCCCACCACCAGTGGTGAGCTGGGTTCCCTTGTGTGCATCTGATGCTCCTGGTTACTTGAGCTGTGGGCCTTAGACCTGGACACTGAATTTGTTTTATAGACACTGAATTTCCCCCACCTCTCTTCCCGTCCAGCCCTTTCTACTAATAACTGGGCAGTATGATCCCACTGCTCATGGAGAGGTGCAGGTGGTGTGGGGTGACACCAGTTCAGGAGCAGCTCTGAGTCCCCCAAGACCGGTCCTGGCTGCTACAGCTGGTGGGGGGGCAGGCTCCCTTCAGAGCAACCCCCAGCCTGGGAGGTGCCCTTTCCTAGTGGGGTACACCCTACAGAGAGCCCTAATCCTCTTCCTTTCTTTACTCTGCTTACTCTCAGGAGGAGCCACCTCTCCCAAAACTTTGTGCAGATGCAACCTGGAACCCTTAAAAATACTGTTTGGTACGTCTGCATTTTGCGAACACAGGAATGATGACTACGGTTGACTGGCCTGGCCCCGCAGTCTGAGTTCTTGGAAACAAGAGTGTTATGTATCTGCCTAGCATCTGGCAGGCTCAGCAGGTATTGCTGAGTAAGTGAGTCTCTTGTTGACATGAATGTTACAGGAAATGAATGATTATGACATGAATTTACATATGTCCCATGGGATTCTTAGATTTCACCAGGTCCCAAAGACTTAAACTGAAGTTTAGGCACAGCTGGTATGTCAGAAATGATATTATGAACCTTGGGACTTTTCCTACTCCCAGAAGTCACGAATGACATGGGGAAGTTGGGTTTTCTGGCAACAATGAAAGGAAGATAGTTGCAGGTGCATTTTCCTCTGAATGTCAAATGGATTAAGAAGAAAACAGATCTGCAAACACTCACCAAAGGCTGCTTTGAGCTTTAAAAACATTTATCTAAATTTATCTTACATGCTCAGTTTGTATGTTTAATAAGGACACAAGCCCATGGAACAATTTTTAAGTGTTAGAAACGGCATTCGGTGAGACATGGGGCTGTGCCACGGCTGGCCCTCACCGCCACTTTCCTGCTGGAGGCCGCAACTGTGACCCACTTTCCTGTGTATCTTTCCAGGAATAACCTACACCAGAGAGATCGCTGCCAATTTCATACTCAAAAGGAATTCACACAGTGTGTTTTAGAGAAGATTCTTCAGAAAATTTTGGCAGATAATTCAGGTTAGCTATTTGTGGAAACATATGTAATTCATCATTTAACACAAAAAAGTTTATCTTATGTTTGCTTATTTGTAGAGTGTAATCTCTAGCCCTTGGGAGTCCCAGGGAAGTATACATGATGCTAACACTTCCCTGTTCCCTGCTTATGTGTGGTTTCTTTCGACCATGGTGCACCTGGTGAAGCCTGTGGGTGATACTTAGTCTTCATGTGTAGATGAGGCCCCAGTAAGGCAAAGCACCTTCCTAAGGGCACCAAGGTTGTATGCAGCTGAGCTAGAAGAACCCAGGGGCCATCGTCCCTGGTCCTTGCTTTTCCTTCCAGGGTTGAAATGCCAAACTTTTCACAGTTCCAGGATTCTCAATGGAATCACATGGGTAAAAATCTAGTATTTGAATTTTTAATGTTTGGAAAGGATGGAGTAACAGGATTAGATTTATCCTCCCAATTTAATTAAAAAACAAGAAAACATATACGAAACAGTGATTTCTCATATATGAGAGAATAAGCAGCAAAGGCCAGTGATTCCTGAGAGATGGAAAGCAGCTGAGTGCAGTGCTATGATTGCTTCAGGTGCTGTCTGGGTAGAGTTTCCAGGGCAGCATCAGGGGTGAGAACTTAGGCAGAGCCTAGTGGTCTCAATATGTTAAGGAGTTTGGAGAGGTCAAAGTAGCTAGGATTCAAAGGACAGAGTGAGAGACAGACAGAGAGAGAGAGAGAGAGAGAGAGAGAGAGAGAGAGAGAGAGAGAGAGAGAGAGAGAGAGAGAGAGAGATACAGAGGGATGCCTTGAGCCTTCGGCTGATTATTGGCTAATGAATGGCTGTAAGAAAACTACTCAAGGATGGAAAAAGGGACACACAGTGGACAGGCAGAATAATTTCCAGAGCTCACACAGGCCAGAAATAGGTGGGGTTCCCATCAGTAAACATTTTAAAAACCCTCATAATACACAGGACATTGAGTAGAGTACACAGAATTACATTGCCTCAGTAGTGGGGAATAGTTGACTTAGAAGAAATGCTGCTTGGTACATCTAACAAAGCATAAAAGCAAGTGTCAAAAGGACCAAACTGCTTCAAAGTAACTTAAATGGGTAAAAGAACAGGCTCAATACTAGTTTTAAAAATGTAAGAATATCCAACACACAATGTAAGTAAGATACACAATGTAAGATTCACAATGTCTGGCTTTCAAACAAAAATGACCAGACATGTGAATAAGCAATAAAATATAATTTATAATGAGAAGAAAAGCTAATCAAAACTGACCCAAAAATGACACAGAGAGTAGAATTAGAAAGCAACGATATGAAATGTTTTTATAAAACTATATACTATATGTTCAAGAAACATAGAATGTCAGATTAGATAAAAGCAAGAACCAGCCATATGCTCCCTATAAGAAACTCCCCTAATGACACAAGTAGGTTAAAAGTAAAATGATAGACAAAGATATGACATGCTAATTCCAACCGAAAGAAAGCTAAAGTAGTTACTTAAATCTCAAAGTATACTTAGGGACAAATAATATTACTAGGAATAAAAAATCATTTCTTTTTTTTGTTTGAGATGAGGTCTTACTGTCACCCAGGCTGGAGTTCAGTGGCACAGTCTTGGCTCACTGCAGCCTTAAAACCTGGGCTCGAGCAATCGTCCTGCCTCAGCCTCCTGAGTAGCTGAGACTACAGGTATGTACCACCACACCCAGCTAATATTTTATTTTTTGTAGAGATAGGGTCTTGCTACATTGCCCAGGCTGGTCTTGAATTCCTGGGTTCAAGTAATCCTCTTGCTTCAGACCGCAAAGTGTTGAAATTACAGGCATGAGCCACTGCACCTGGACAAGAGTCATTTCCTCATGTTGCAGGGATAACTCACCAAGAAAACATAATAATCCTACAGGCTTATACACCAAATAAGAGCTTCAAAATACATAAAGCAAGCACTGCTAGAAATAAAAGGAGTAATGAACAATCCACAATTATGGTTTGAGATTTCAACAGTGCTTTCTCAATAACCAATTGAACAAGTAGATGGAAATTTAGTAAGGATATAAAAGAACCAAATAAGTCTACTTGGCATACTTGATCTAATTGACATTTATAGAGCAGCCCACCTCTTAACAGTATAATACACATACTTTTCTGAACACTTGGAATATTTGCTAAAGTACACTATATTCTGAGCCATATTTAAAGTTTTAAAATTCACTGAACAATAATCAAGCCATATAACATATGTTTTATGACCAAAATGAAATTAAATTATAAGTCAATAAAATTATGGCATCTGGAAAAATCTTGGAATATTTGGAACTAAACAGCATACTTTTTTTTCTTTTTTTTGAGATGGAGTCATGCTCTTTCACCAGGGGTTGGAGTGCAATGGCATGATCTTGGCTTACTGTGACTTCTGCCTCCTGGGTTCAGGTGATTCTCCTGCCTCAGCCTCCCATGTAGCTGGGATTACAGGTGCTCACCACCACGCCCAGCTAATTTTTGTATTTTTAGTAGAGATGGGGTTTCCTCATTTTGGCGAGGCTGGTCTTGAACTCCCGACCTCAGGTGATCTGCCCACCTTAGCCTCCCAAAGCGCTGGAATTACAGGTGTGAGCCACTGTGCCCAGCCTCACTAGCACACTTCTAAACAACCTATGGATCAAAGAAGAAATTTAGAAGGTGAATCATAAGGTATTTTGAACTGGGTGAAAATAAAAGCATGACATATTGGAATTTATGGGATGAGATAAAAGTTGTACCTAGAGGAAAATTTTAACAGTGAGCATTTGTATTAGAAAGGATGAGAGGTCTCAAACCCAGGATCTAAGTATTCACTTCAAAAAGTTAGATAAAAGGGAAAATAAAATTTACAATAAGCAGAGGAAAGAAAATAATGCTGAGATAAGAAACCACTATAATTAAAAACAAAATCAATAGAAGAAAATGAAATAACCTGGCTCTCTGAGCAGATTGATAAAATAGATGAACCTCAAATCAGACTGATACAATTTTTAGAAAGTTACAAATTACTAGAGAATTACTATCACCACAGTTCCTACCGACATTGAAATGAATAATAAAAAAGTATGATGAACAACTTTTGCCAATAACTTTGCCAACTTAGGTGAAATGAGAAAGTTCCCATAAGGACCCAATTTATCAACAATTATTAAAGAAGAAATAAACACACTAAATGGCTCTCTATTAAACAAATTAAGCTTACAGTTAAAAACCTTTCCATAAAGAAAATATAGGCCCAGAGGTTTTCACTGG